TTACGTAACAAGGAAGCAAAAGATGAACAGTGAATCGTGAAAGAGACACAAAAAATATGAGGCGTGGTTTGGTTGCAGTGAAATGGCGTGTTTGGGGTTTATAAGGGTTTGCAAAACGACGCACTTTTTCAAGTTATAGAAGGAAACAATGATTGAAATTCTTGGTAATTTCGAACGTCGCTGGAAACATGAAGTGAATATGGCAAAATTCAATAATTATTATTAATTCTGCCATATTGGGGGGTAATTGTTAACACATAAAAATTCAGCCCAAATCGAACAGCCCAAAGAGTAAAGCCCAATTAGAGGATCCCCAAATCGAATAGCCCAAAGAACGAAATCCAATCGAGCGAATCAAGATGAAGGCCCAAATAAAGGGCCCAAGAATGCGGTAACGCCATCGCCCAAGTTTGCAAGTCGCCCAGAATCTGAACGAATGGAGTGTCATACGGTCGCCCAGAGCTGTTATTCTACTCTCGCCCAAACCTTCAAGTCGCCCAAAGTATCAACAAACATAACGCATCGTGGTTATCAAGGAATGCAGTTATCAAGGCAGTTGTTAAAATAGCCTTATCACGTTCCACGACTCAAGGAATTCAATCGAAAGCGGTTGAACGATGAAAGATAATGGCAGCAGTTAAAAGGCAGTTTCATGACAAAATGGCCACTACAAAGAAAGTGGGTAGTTATAGGACGATCAAGCAGTTTTTAGAATAGTTAATCACAAAGAGATCATCTATGAGGTATAAAAGGGAGAAAGGACGCAGAAGCAAAGGACCGAATCCAAAACTCTCGAACAGAGAATATGTAATTTTCATTTCCTTAACTTTTAAATTTAAATACTTTTCTTTCTGTAACTCATGTGCTTGCGCCCCTTGGAGGCACGCTGTTTTTCATTTCCAATTGTAAAGTTCATCACCAATAAAAGAACACCCCTTTTTGGGACTTTGTCTCAAAAGGTTTCGTCCCTTACACAATCGTCTGATCCTTTTTAATTGTTAGCGACTTAACCCGCGCGAAACACATACAACATTCAAAAAAACGAATTAAAGCTTCGCGATCTCATGATTATGAGATTTATTATAAATAAGATCATCCTGTAAACAAAATTTTCAATGCAAAAGAAACCCATCTTCAAAATTCAATCGTACAATCCCATGCATCTTTTTCTTTTCAGGGTTGTGCTATGGGTACATTGGGGGTGTCATAAAGGTGTCCATAATTGACACCCCGCACCCCCATTGGAGAGGCGCCTGTGGGAGTGCCGAGTGTCCATTATAGACGCCCTTATGGCACCCCAATGTACAAGGAGAATAATCCTTCTCTCCATTGGGCCATTCGCTTTTATTATCCAATAATTGAATGAAAACTAGTTTGATTTTTACCTAATAGTGCTGTACACAGCCCCCTCACATGAGCGGACTCCACGCCATGTGAGAGGACTGAACCTTGTATGTACGTGGATTGTACAAAGAGAAAAACCCAATTTTTTATGTTCCAACTGGAATTGACACACAAATGTTGCCACTTGACAAGCGCGAGTGCATCACATGTGATGGTCCACATTTAATGAAAATTTTGACACGGATTTCAACGTTTCATTTTTGTCCCCTTATTAGGTACAGAGACGGACAACATAATGAAAAATAGAGATTACAGTCGAGTCAATTATTGTGTACAAACGAAGCCCTCTAAGTTTAGATGAGCCGCTTCTATAATCCATTTTTTACCAACGATTCAAGTCTAAGAAATGATAACACATGCATTGCCCAAGTAAGTTCGACAATTATTTGATAGTCAGATAAAGCACGAAATACTTTGTCTAACATAAGACAACATTGAGAAATACATCAAGTGAAGAATAGGCAATAATAGATTCAATCTCGTTTAACAAATTAACTACTTCATGAACTAGTTCAAACCTCGACCACTTGTCAAGGGCCAAGTGACGCATTTAATTACTATCCGGGCAAGGAGATCTATGAGAGCTCAAATTCTAATCCTTTAATTGTTCCGCGAAACTTCATTCATGTAGCTTTTGACTCGATTGCCTTTTTTGCAAATGAGGGTAAACAAAAAGCCGCAGAGTGGATCTGGAAAGAGAAGTAGAGAGCGAAACTTATTTGAACTAAGAAAACACGAAGAATGACAGAGTGTTGGGTAGAGAAACCATGAGATGCAATGCCTTACCTCGGAGTTGTAGAACTTCAAAGGTCCTTTCGTTTTCACATGACTATCGTCAGCGTCTATTGGGTTGATTGGATGTTTAAAATCCACTGCAGGACCCTCCGTAGAACAAAGCATGAACCCAATAACACCACTAAAAGGAGATGGAGCAACAAAATCGATAAGCAAGGTTAATGATATGGCACAAAACCATGTCCATTGACTGGCACATACGAGCTTATCAAAAGCGTAGTTCTCACTTCTCATATGGGAACACATCATATGGGAAAATACCTTGGGTATGTTGGAACTGAGGTCCAGGCATAGTTAACAGAGCCTTTGAAAATCTGGCGACAGTTTGCTACGATATTTTCAATAATTTGCATGTGAAGCCATATGCTTTCAGCCTGAGTGCACATAACACCTCCAGGACGAAGAGCTTTCGCTAGTGACTCAAAGAAAGGTTTTTCAAATAACTCCTGAGCCGGACCTAAGTCATGTAAAACACAGTTTGAACATTGGACTAGGAAGTTTCAAAGGAGTTACTAGTAAGACCTTGGCTAGAAACACATTATTACCGATGGGATCAGAAGAATCCACTATAATTGCATCATAAGTTCCTTTGGGAACGGCATTCAAAAATGCTACTCCTGCAAGGTTGAAATAAATTCGATTAAGTTAAAAATTATAGTTAAGAGAAGACAGACAAAGGCAGTGGAAGAAAGGGGAGAGAAAGAGTAACTATAGATGACTGTACCATCTCCGATATGAAGTGTTACACGGGGATCCTGAAATCCCAAAGCTACACTTGGAAAAAATTGTTTTGAAACCTGGAAGGAAGGACAGTATATCAGTACTGACAAATTGCTGCAAGTGGAGTGTTCGAAAATCTCAAAATTTAGGATCAAGAGAATCCAGCAAAATGCAGTTCTAAGTTAATCATAAACATGAAATATCCAAAGAAACAGAGTAGAAAGAGGAATATATTATTAAATGAAACGATAGTGAAAAAAAGTCTAAGTGACCTACATCAACTACCATCTTGTCAATCTCACAGATGTCTATCTTCTCGACAGAAGAATGGCGAGCTACTTCACGCAAGACACCACCATCTCCTCCTCCAATAACAAGAACCTTCAATTAAAAACAACATTAAAAGAATTAAGGAAAATGAGAAAAAAAGAGAAAAACAACGGTTCACAGATTCTGTTCTTTAGAGGTCTATGCAGAAATCAAGCAAAGCCCAGGTAGAGAAAGAATGAATAACAATGTGAATGTGATTTAGGCGACCAATCTGATTTTTCATGTTAAAGAGCATTAGAGCATAAATACCTTCTTTGGGTTTAGAATTGAGCAAAGTGGAAGATGAGTAATCATCTCTTGATAAGCACATTCATCTCTCTCGGTGAGTTGAATTACACCATCCAAGACAAGAACCTTTCCATAAGTTGAAGACTGCAGCAAAAATAAACCATATTTTATGCATTCAGAAACACAAAAGGAGGCATTCATATGTTAATAATAAATCTTAAGAACTTAAAAATTTAAGCCCATAAAAAACCTGAAACACCAAGACATTCTGGTAATCAGACTTCCCCTGGAATAATAACTTCTCTACTTTTAATGAATGAGCTTCTCCTGCATGATTTCCACAAAGCAATCCATTGAGAGTCATAACAAACAAAGAAAAAGCGGTTTATGAGATAAGTTAAATCAAATAAAATAATTGTTTTCTAAACAATCATCACTACATTTGGAAGTTTTTCTTCTCCACCCCACCATCCAGGCCGTGTATGTAGGTTTTCCTTTTCCTTGTTAAGTTAATATTAGCCAGAATAGAGGGTAGAGGGAAGAGAAGCCATGAAACTTGACCATATGTTGGATAAGGTTTTATTCCTCAATGAAGTAAACACCATATTTATAGTCATTTGGAGTTTCCAAGCCATGTAACCCTGAGATTTAAATGAATTATAACGAAAATTAGAATTGTTCTTTTCATCTTTTAAGGGGGCTATCGATACCAAAAGATTGAGATTGCTGCTTTAGATTCAAAACGACATTTGGCAATATAAACTTTACACTCAGAGGATACCATTAAAATTATGAGCTAAAGTTCTCCATCCCAAAAATTATGAAAAGAAGTATATGACAATAAAGAACAACATACTATTTACAAACCAGTATGAATTTTTCATAAAAATAATAATACGCCTAAAACATTAAAAGGCGAAGCTTGACATCATGTCCCTTTCAACATGTAAAATTATTGAATTGTACTGATAGAAATCATTTCTTCAAACCAATGCCACGCATTGAAATAAAATATTAAGAAGAGAAAAAGAAAAGTAAGGACAACCAACCATCTCCACCCCCATAAACCATATTCCAATTCAGAAACATAAACGACAAAGTATTTTATCAAATCTAAACAAAAATTTCTCAAAAAATTTTAGAAAATTAATATATATCCACAATTTCATACATAAATACTCATAATTACACACCTTTTGAGCTTAATATCCTTCAATACGATATGAATGCCCAAAAACTCAATCGAACAATTCGATTATGTATATTATACGTATGCAAGTATATGTAGAGAGGTGGAAACTTGCCAGGCCATAGAGGGCTAATCTCAGAAAACCAGCCAGGTATAACAGAGGAGATAGAATCCGGCAGGTCCGCCGCCGCTCCGCCGCCATTATTTACTTCCATATCGACAGAAACAGCACCCTTCTCTTCCTCCAGTTCCTCCTCTACCAGCCTCTACAATGGCGATTCACAATCAAGCAGACTCAAGAGTCCTTTTCCATCTCCTACTTATATTTATAGATGGGGCTTTGCCATTTGTATACCCAATCTGTACAATTTTGAAACTTGCATTATTGTGATTAGATGAAAAAATTGTTTTTTTTTTCTTAAATTATCAAAATGACAGTTTGACAGGTGATAAAGTATAAATAAAGTGTATGTAATAGATTATACTTTGATTTTTAGAATTATTTTAGGGTTTAGGAATTTTGAGAATTGATTTTTTGATCGTTAGGAGATAAGTGGGATCCATAGAGAAAAAGTAAAAAAATTATGGCTAAAATAGTGAAATAATGATAAAAAAATCAATTTTTTGGAATGAAAAATACTTCCAAACAGGACCTTAATATTCCTTTTTAAAATAGTCAAGTACGTACAATGAGCATTTTCATCGCCCCATTTGGCCCCCATTTTGTAAAGTTGAAAATGAGTGAAATAGTATTTTTTAGAAAAATAAATGATTGAAAAAGAAAAAAAAGGTTTCGATTTACGTGTAATATTATTTTACGAAAAATTGTGTGATTAAAAATAGAAGATAGAAAAATGTAATATAATGCAATAAAAATTAATGGGACGGGCTAAAGTATTCAAAAATTGGGATCACCTGTGACCACAATTTATTAAATTTTTTTATGTATTTATCGATCAAGACAGAAACAGACAGCTTTTTCACGTTTTTCGTTTTTCTTTTTTTTGGTCGGAAAGCAATATAAACTCATGTTTTAATACAAAGGCCGTACGTTAGAAATGTGTTTTTTCAACAAAATCTTCGTATCTCAAAAAGTGACAAATTGTGAGGAAGAGTCATAATGATGATTAATTTGAAACAAAATTAAAAATTCAATGACGAGACGTGAGCACAAAGTCATATAACACTGACATTATGTATTAAAGTTGTGCTTGGAGTCTATAATTTTGGGTCCGTAAAAGTGTTTATACACTATGTACCAATAGATTTACCCTATGTATTATATATTTTATCGTAAATTATTTATCATGTCAAAGTCACAATATTAGGGAATTTAGGGTTGAAAGAGGGACACAATTAATTAATGCCCATGTTTGATCCACATATTTTCAAGAATGCATTTTTTCGATTCTCATTTTCAACCACATTCTTTCATAAAATAATAATATACGTATTTCAAAAATATTTTTTTATTTTTTAACTATACATTCTACAAAAAATCACTATTTCATAATACATTTTTATCAAAAAATGGGGATTAAACAGGCGCAATACATGAAAATGACAAAAGAGTATCTGCTTTTGCTTTTTGAGTATTGTACAATGACGCAGGACATGTCTAATAAAATGGCTTTACGTGCGGGTCCTTTAAACGTAAAATGAATGGCCATCTTGTTTACAGCAATTTCTTATTCTGCCATCCCTTTATGGAAAGAAAAATGCTGTGTGTACACCTTATGGTGTACACATAGCTTTACTTCCCACTCATATGGAGGGGGATCCACAAATATTTTATTATATGTGAGCCCTTCTCTATGTCAGGTGGGTGCAAAGCTGTGTGTGCACCATTGTGTACACACAGCACAACCCTTATGAAAATTGTCAAGGACGATTTTGATGATTTGAATTTTTAAAAATAATCTCTTAAATATGTTTTAGCCATGTTTGAGCCTTATACAAAAGAATACTGTAATGTTATTTGTACATTTCATGCTTGACATTATGTTTGACATTACTTTGTTTTAAAAAAATTTGCTTGTAAGAAAACTATTTTTTTTAATCGACAAATAGCAGTTTGTCACATGGCAAAATGTCCAATAGATTTAAAACTTCTTTTTTGGTAAATCAATTGCGAAATGTTTTTCTAGAATGACCAATATTTGTTTTATATCTTCTAGGCCAGCTCCCATAGTGTGACGGGCGGTGTGTACAAGGCCCGGGAACGAATTCACCGCCGGGGAGCGTTCCGCCTTAGAAGGAAGCCCCCGCGCGAGCAGTGGAGGACGAAGCGGAAACGAGAATGTCGGCTTGAGTAACGCAAACATTGGTGAGAATCCAATGCCCCGAAAACCTAAGGGTTCATTGGTGCAGCAGAGTTGTATGTGGAAACTAATTTTTTTTTTTAAATCTTTTTTAACCATACATTCTTTCAATAAGATAGTTTTATACGTAAACTCAAATTTTTTTCTACTTTTTAACTATATATTTTCTAAAAACACTGTTATAAAACTCGTTCTTTAAAAAAAAAAATGGCTCAAACATACCTTTTTATATGGAGAAAGACTAAAAACAATGTTTTCATGGATATATTTTCAGAATTAACAAAGGAGGAATCAAGCATTCATGCATTAGGGATGGCAAAGAAATGCAACATGACATGGATTTAAAAAAAAAAAAAAAAAATCTCATTTATCGACTTATTTAATTAATTAATATTTATAGTATATTTTATTTGAAAACATATAAATAAATAAATTCAAGACGAGTTGAGAAATTCGGAACAATCATGATCCCCTCGCCCAGTAGCCCTATTTACTATTTTGAGCAATGGGTCTGGAAAAACTTCGTTTCAGCTTTGAAGTTTCATTAAATGAGGCATCGCTTATAAATTTTATAAAATATAACTTGTTGTATAATTGCTTTAATTTTTAATTAGGATTCTCATAATCAATTTTTCAATTTAACTCAAATGTTTCACGAATCATCAATTAGTTGTCCACCTTTTTTAAGTGTGATTTTCTAACATGAATAATCTAGTCCCCATTTGATTCAGTTGTAAAAGTTGATTAAAATTTTAATCCAAATTAATAATTAATTTTAAGCAAAAAATTCACGAGATCTACAACATTTCAATCACATATTCTATTAGTTTTTTTTTTCTTTTTGTTTTTTTTGAAAATCGATATCTAAACGGAATAGGGTCTAATATCTCATGACATAGTACGTTGATCATCTAAGATGTGTAGCATACATCGAACTCGAGTTTGAAAACAACTGCATAAGGTGATTCGAGTTGAAATTTGATATAGATATGATTATTGATTCACGAATTCTATTTATATCGTGTCGTTCACATTTTTCATTACTTTGGTCAATTTTGAAAAAAATAATGATTGTACTATTATTAGGGTTTCTGTATTGGGTTTGGGGTTGAGCTGCAAAATCTTCGAGGTGGGGACCCTTATGGGAATATCTATGGAATATTCCCTGATAAAGCTTTGGCCCTTATTTTATCTTACTTTTTTTAAGCAGAAAAATTATAAGGCCAATTTGATTGAAAGAATGAAATTTGGGTACGAATTTCAGGAAATTAAATTATTTAAAATTTGTTTTATTGAAAATTGTCAATTAAATATATTTGAGTAGTATAAATTTTCACTTGAAAAATGTTGAAATTTAAGATATTTTGTTATTCGTTTGACTTTATTTTATGAAAATTGTCAATTAAAATGATAGAATTTGTTATAGTTGTGGACAAATTTATTTCCAATGCCAAAAAAACAATAAAAAAAATAAAAATAAAAAGTGAAAAACCCAATTCCCATCCAAACAAAAGGAAAATAAATTCCTTCAAAACTTAGAAAATGGCATTATGAGGGGTTAACTAGAAGACCAATTCCATGAAAAATTTGCCTATCAGACAAGATATTTGGGTGGAAATTTCAATTTTCATGAAATTGGCTTGTATCAAACAGGCCTTTAAGTGAAATTGTTAAAGAAACAAATTATTGTATACTTTTAGTAAGAACTTTGAGCTAAGATTTTACATAGTGACACATACTCGTTACCCGTGAGCATGGTGGGTTGCACAATCTTTATATATATAATAATATATATTCTTTTTTCATAATCTTTAAACGAAGCAAGAAATATCTCAAAAAGACAAAGAAGTTATATCATCATATGATAATTATTGGGTCTAGATTTGAGGCAACATACATTGTCCACGAATTAATAGTACGACCTTATTAAATGCCCGGGTATTGATTCAAGAAAAAAGTTTGTATGATCAACTCTCTTATTAAATTACATGTTTTCCTTGATATAAGTACAAAATAAGCTTAAGGAAATATTAGTAATACTCGTCGTGAATATGAAGATGCTCTTTTCTAGCACTTGAACTTGTATTCTCGCAATATGTTTCAATTATACCTCGAAAAGAGGATGGAAAATTCATTATCAATCTAATACCACAAGTCATGTTAAAGCTAATTCTTTATGAATTGTAAGTGTCGGATGAGAGGAATTCGATATGATTGACGTGAATAATGAAATCCATTCTTAAATGCAAAATTTTCATTAACTTAATAATGGTTATCAGAATCGCTATTATGACCTCAATTCGAAAAGTTCTCTTCGACGCGCACGTCGAACGTCAATTTCGAGCCCAAAATCCACTGTTTTCCTTTTCAAAATTCAATTTAAGTTATTTTTTACTATTTATGGTAATATTTCGTTTCCTTTTTTCCATATGTTAGAAAACTCGAATTGAGCCAAATTTTTGGCAATTTACTTCTTTTACTTAATATTTTATTTTGGTATAATTTTGGGATTTTGCCATTTTTGGTAATTTTTCCATAATTTCGTATTTCGCAGCTATTTAACCCGGCTTGTGGGTTAGTTTTCATCATCCCGCATTATTAATAATATTGAGTTGAATTCAGAGTATTTTCTCTATTTTTTTGGGCGTTTTCTGTCGTTCTTTTCTTGCGAATCATCTGCTACAACAAGCTAATAGGATAATCACTATCCTACCCGGCGTCAGTATACAAGTGAAATGAATATGCCAAATGTACATGTACATTGATGTTAACTAAATAATTAAATAAATTAAATGTATATTGAAAAATGAAAAGTAAGATATTATTGAAATAATTGAATTATAGTAAAGCTAGAATCGCCCAAAAACTGATTCTCACCTGATGAGATACTAAGGCCCCATTTGATTGGATAAATTTTCCATGGAAAATGGAAAAACATTTTCCACTTTCCAACTTTTTAAGTATTTGATTGACAAATTTTTTACATGACCAAGTTTTCCACCATTTTGAAGAATTGCAATTCTTATGAATTAGGTGGGAAAATGAGTTTTCTAGGTTTTTTTATTTTTAAA